TACAGAGGGAGTTTGCTTAATTAAACTCCATCTTTTAAAACTCCAGGGCTGAGTTTTGAATTCAGGGCAGGAGAATCCCAAAAATACACCGAGGGAAAAGGGTCAGGAACCAGACCACCCAGTTGTCCCACTCTAGAGGTGCTGGACACGTACCTCTGGCCTGGTGATCCACAGCTCTCTCACCATCTCAATGTAATGTCTCTTCCAGATTCCCTGCTCGAAGGGCGTTGGGCAGAAGTTGATGTACCAGCCAAAACGGAGACACTTCAGCATCCAGAGCTGATCCAGCTCAGACAGGTACTTCCAGTACCAGCTCACCTGGAAATGCCCAGTTGAAAGCTGAAAACCTCAGGGTTTCAAGCATCCAAGATTCCAGCTACAGACTCCCGTGCTCGGGGTGTAATTCCCCTGGGTCCTCAAACCAACTCCTCAGCAACGTTAATGCTCCATTTAAACCTTTGGTTCAACCATTTAAACCCTTGATTAAACCATTTAAACCCTTGATTAAACCATTTAAACCATTCAAGGTCTTCCTGGCATGGGACCCTTCCAACTCAGGATATTCCATGATTCTAAGTAATCTCCTAACCAACCAGTGAATGGAGAGTTCCAGTTGCATCCACTGGAGAAAGACATGACAGCAAAGGTTTAGCCAAGCTGAGATTTTGATATATTCTTGAATGTCAAGAATATTCATGAAATATTCATGGAATATTATGTAAGTGCAGCAATAATGTCACCAGTATCTGAGCTTTGTCATGTAGAACCACTTTGGGCAGCATCTCGCAGCACTTCCTCTCATGCAAACACATTTTTGGAGTCTCAGCCACTGGGCTCCAAATCACACCTGTAACTTCTCAGCTTCTCCACATCCAACACTTGACCCCGAAGCATTTTAAAGGATCAGTTTTAATTTCTGTGGGTGGTTCTTCGCAAGAGCACAAACCAATGTTTCCCAAAGAATTAAGGCCTCTGCACACAGTGCAAGGTACTTCAGAGGAATGTGACTTTCAGAAGGTGCCAGGCTTCCTTTTTGGGAATAACCAGCCTTGAAAGTGCCACATTTTAAGTGCTTTAGCATCTCAAATTACTCTCCCCTTCTGTAAATCTTGGCTGGAAGTCTGGCTTAATTTAGGAGCTGAGGAACGAGCATCACTCAGCACTTGGCAGCGGCTGCCAAGTCAGAGCTCTGTGCATTCCGAGGAACAGCACTGGTGTGTCTTCACCAAAAACTGGTGGTTTCCTCTTTTTTTAACCACCTTGAACCTCAGGTTGGGCTTTTTTACCTGTGCACAGCGACAGAGGCTCCGTGGGTCCAGGAAGGAGAAGATGTACAAGGACAGGACTCGAGGAAGCCTCGTGGTGAAATCCACGGCCTCGGTGGGAATTCGGTCCTGGAGCTGCCTGGAGCAGAATTTCTGCTGTGCCAGGGAGCAGCGTTCCAGCAGGTCCACCAGGATCCTCCTCCTCTGCCCATCTGTCCACTTGTCAAACTGAAAAGAGGGAGTCTCAGGTTCAGAGTAAAAGCAGAGCTTCAACTCCTTAAAATAAAGCACACGTTCAGGGCAGGGAAAGTGCACGAGCAGCAGCTTCTGGTGACTCACCCAGGAGCAAAGGAACTGGGAACAAACGGAGAGGCTGCATGAAAAGCAACTCTGAAGCCACATAACGTGTGATTTATAACCCTCAAAGGATCCAGGATGGCCCAGTCCAGGACTCACTCCTGCTTCCAAGACTCCTTGCTCCTGGGACCAGCTCCGAGACTTGGCTTCACTCATGGGAAGGAGGAGACTCAGATGGGTGTTTACAGGATTAGGTCCCAAATCCTGAGTTCATTGCTGACTCCTTGTCTCTCCTGACACTTCCATGCCCCCCACTAGTGCAATAGTTGAGTGCCTCACAATTTGTGAAGGATTTTTTCTCCCATTCCCACTGCGCGGGAGAGAAATCCCCACCACGGAGAAGAGGAGCAAAGAGAAACTAAATGAGCTGCCCAGAGCAGAGAATCCCAGTATCCTAAAATCACAGAATCATGGAATGGGTCGGGTTGGAAGGGACCACAGTGGGTCCATCTGGTCCCACCTCCCTGCTCGACCAGGGTCATCCCGGAGCAGGTGGCACAGGATGGTGTCCAGATGGTCCAGGATTGTGCCCAGATGGTCCAGGATTGTGCCTAGATCCAGGAGCAGAGTCACAGAGACCTTTGGCAGCATTTCCATGCTCCTGGCAGGTACCTGAAGAGGGAGATGAACCCAGTTGTGGAAGAACTGAGCCCCCAGGGAAGCACAGGAGCACAGGTGGTGTCAGCTGGGTGGGAGCATTGGCAGTGGCTGGTGTGGCACCGGTGTTGATAGCAGGGCATGGAAAGGGCCCTGTCAGCAGGAATCTCCTGGGAGCAGCCTGACCTCATCCCCACAGTCGCTGCAATCCGGCTCCAAACCTGCCAGAGCGGTCCTGGCTCCGGGGGCAGCGCCTGAGTGCCAGCAGGGAGGAAGTGCCAGAGGACCAGCAGGCAGGAGCAGCAGGAATCCCCAGTGGGAAGTGCAGGCAGCAGAATGGCAGGGACAAACGTGGCTTTTCCTGAGGTGAAACGGGGGGGTTTGGACAAGTGCTGCTTCATCCTGTTTGCAGGAGGGACAGGACAAGGGGAAGGTTTTACACTGAAAGAGCACAGTCAGCAAAGGGCGGGATGGGGGTTTCCAGCTTCCCTCCTGCCTGTTTTCCTGGGAAATCCAGCTGCTTTGTCCTCCAGCTCTGGGAATCCCAACAGCAGAAGGATGGGGAGCTGCTGGAGCGAGTCCAGGGGAGGTCACAGGTGCTCTGAGGGCTGGAGCCCCTCTGCTCTGGAGCCAGGCTGGGAGAGCTGGGGGGGTTCATCTGGAGAGGAGAAGGATCCAGGGAGACCCTGGAGCCTCTTGCAGAAGCCTAAAGGGGCTCCAGGAGAGCTGGAGAGGGACTTGGGACGAGGGCTGGAGGGACAGGACACAGGGAATGGCTTCCCAGTGCCAGAGGGCAGGGTTAGATGGGAGATTGGGAAGGAATTCCTGGCTGGGAGGGTGGGGAGGGGCTGGTCTGGAATTCCCAGAGAAGCTGTGGCTGCCCCTGAATCCCTGGAAGTGTCCAAGGCCAGGTTGGACGGGGCTTGGAGCAACCTGGGCTAGTGGGAGGTGTCCCTGCCCATGGCAGGGGTTGGAACTGAACAATCTTTAAGGTCCCTTCCAACCCAAACTATCCTGGGATTCGATGATCCTCCTTCCCTGCACTGCAGAAGCCACCTTGACCCAAACTCACCTTCTTTTCAAAGGGAAAACTGAACAGTCTGGGGAATTCCCCTCTTTGGGGAATGCTGCTTTTCCCTCTTTCCTTCCTTCTCCCAGGTTGGTCATCCCCAAACCACACACCCTCTTTTTTCACAGGGCTGGTTCCTGAAGCCAAATTTCCACTTGCTCTCTGCAGGTCCCATCACAGCACATTCAGTTCTGCATTTAACCTCAGGGACATTTAAGTCCTTGGTTAAAAGTGACCTCCAAAATTTAAAAATATTTTAAAAAATTACTTTTTTTCCAGGGTTTTCTTTATTCCTATGTGTAAATGGTTTAATGTCCTGTGTCCCTTCCTTTTCCTTTCAGAACAAAACAGACTAGAAAGTCAGATTGTTTTCTCTCTTCTTCCCCCCTAACAAATCTGTGCTCTGGCAGAATAATAGTTTAAAATATCTTGTGCAGATGAAAGGTAATTGAGAAGTGATTTCTTTCCTGATCATCCTGAAGAACTCTTTGTTTCACTCTGTATTTTTACTTGGATGAATTCCAGCACCAGAGAGTAAACAGCTCTTCCCTTTCTTGCAACCCCCTCTTCAAGATCTTGAGAAGGTCAGAATGAAGGAAGGATGGAATTGGCATTCCTGATGTCCCAGAGAGATGAGAAGTGAGTCAGGAAAAAGCTCCCAAATGCCCCTTTTTAGACACAAATGGAATTAAAGGAATACTCCCCTTTCCTCTCATCCCTGTTTTGCACAGGACTTCCACCTCTAATGATGTTTAGCAGGGAAAAACTGAAGCAGGACCTTGGGATTTGGGGCTTGGAAAGAGAATTTGTGGGTCCCTTCCTAGCTGGGGATATTCCGTGGTTCTGTCACAAATAAAATCGAGGGGGACAGAGGAGGGTTTGCCTGTCCCCTTCTCCCCCTCAGCTGGACAGAAAAGGCTTTCCCTGCCCCAGGAATGCTGCAGACACTGCCCGTTCAGGGCCACATCCACGTCCTCCTCTCAATTAAAACAATCCCCAATCCCCAATTTGCCAAGTTAAGTTTCTCTCCTCCTCCGAGCTCCAGAGACAAGGGAGTCACTGGCTCGTTCTCTTCCACATCAAGAGCTCGAGTGAACCAGTCAAAACAAATCGGGCTTCACTTGCCGGGAGACGGATTTGCTCCCGTTTTAACCCTTTCCATCCCCGCCACGGGTTTTCCAACGGAGTGACTCCTTCCAGCGCCCTGTGCCAGGGAAGCTCCCTTTAAATCAGTGCCAGGAGCACTCGGCCCCTTCTCCATCGCACCCAGCAGCAGCCAAGGAGTTAAGCTGGCGGAATTTGTGTCTTTTCCAGCAGTTAACAGGCATGTCCCCATCCCACATTTGGCTGCCTTTCCCCACAGATCCTCCCCTCAGCCTGCGATCCCGGCAACCCAACCAGTCCAACCGGATTCCCTTCGCTTCACCTTCTCTCCCCGCAGCCAGGAACGGCTTTTCCCCTCGTCTGGGCCTTTCCCAAAGCGCTGGCAAACAATGTCTCCCCAGGGATGGTGTGACATCAGTGCTGGCACTGCTCGGGCCCCGCTCCTGGGATCGGTTTACAATTAATCCCTGAGTGCACACACACACAAATCGGGAAGCCTGACACGCAGGGCCAGCCCCGGGCCTGCAGCTTATCCCAGAGAGTGTTTCCCTGCCTGGAACTGGGAAGGGACACAATCTTCACCTCCAGCCCAGCACACGGACCCGAGGTCAGGGGTTATGATCCACAGGCATCCCCGTGCTCCACAAAAGTGGGAATGGATTCTCCACTCAACGAGGCTCTTTTGCCAAGTGGATGGAGAAGCAATTTCCCCCTCCTTCCCCCACCATCTTCTCCCCGATGGAGGGATTTGTTGGAGACCCTTTTCCAGAAGGTTGGATGGTCCTTCAGTGGAAAAGGTTGAGGAATACTGAGCTGGTTCAGATTTGCTCTTCCTAAACCATTCCTGACTGTGTTCGTCCAACCTGTTCTCAGAGGACTCCAGGGATGGAGATTCCACCCTTAGGCAAGATATTCCAGCAAGGAATTTTCTGTAGAACTGGATTTTGTTCGTGTCTAAATTGTGTCTCTGCTCTTGCAACTCAATCCCTTGATTTCTTGTCCCATCCAGTGGGAACACAAGGATCAGATCATTCCCTTCCCCTTTTCGAACCTCTTTTGTGCATCCTTAGATGTCATTACATTTTTCCTCCATTTTCCCTTCAGTTCAGGGATTGTCTCCTTATTTTCTGGACCTGAGTCTGTTATCACATCTTGACTTGTTCTCAGAGTGTCTCCAGCTGGTCCTCAGCTTTCCCAAAATGCAGGGAGCAGAACTGGGAATGACTTGGGGATATTTCCCCCCTTACTGCCATTGTAAGACACTGGCAGCTCGTGTCCACTTGGTGATCCAGCAGAATTCCCAGCAGTTTCTGCAGAGCTGCTGCACGTTTGGGGTTTCTCAGATCTCTGGAAATGTTCTTTCCCACATTTTGGCTCTTTCAGTTGTAACACAAACATCTTTGCCCCTTTGCCAGCAATTTCCAAGGGATTTCCAAGGGGTTTAGGTCTCTCAGCTGCTGATATCACATGCAAAGGTGTTTTATGAACAATAATCATTCAATTATTTAGTTTTCTTGGTGTCCCTGAAATTCCTTATCATCAAAATGCACTCACGCCAACAAGTTACGGAAATATTCCCTACTATAATGACCAAAAAATCCTTAAAATCAAAATATTTGCCCGTAAAGACCAGTCCACATGCAAAAAAAAAAATGTCATTAGTGGCTTATTAACCATAAAGAATAAGCCCCAGTTTCAACCCAAACCATCCCATGATTCTATGTGTGCACTTAGTAGATAAAATGTCATTTATTACAGATTTCAAAGACCCTCTGTCAGGCCATGGCTCACTTTCCCGTCAGGAAAATTAATCCCTCTTTCAAAACAGGATGTAAGTTTTACATCCCCATCAGATAATCCCTCGATCAGTCCCAAAATTTATCCGTATTTAAATATACATTTAAAGGGAAAAGTTTACCCATTTTCCAAGGAGGGCTCTTCTTTCTTCAAATACCTGGAAAACACAAACACACGAAGAAAACGGAATATTTAAAGGGGATTCCATATGTCCTGAGGAAAATACAGCTTAAAAAAAACAAACTACAAAACAGAGAGAGAAGAACTGAATGGGTGAGTTTGGAAGAAACCCGAGGAGATCCTTCAGTCCGAACTCCTGGATGGGATCAACTAAAGGCTTCAAAACCCAGATGAGCTTTGAGTATCTTCTTGGATGGAGACCCCACAGCCTCCCTGAACATCAGATTCCCCAATTCCTTCATCATTTCCGTGGCCCCACGCTGGCTTTGGTCCGGTAAGTCCATGTTATTTCTTGTGCTGGGGAGCCCAGGAATGGACAGAACATTCCAGGTGTGTCCTCACCAGCGCTGCGGAGAGGGGAAGAATCCATATCCCTTGACCTGCCACCTTCACCCTTCCTGATGTGTCCCAGTTTTCAGTCCACTTCCTTTTCCATTTTTACTTCATCAGCTCATCTATTCTTTGAGCACTGAAAGAATTCCTAAAGCCTGGGAACCGATTGGTTTTCCTGGACCTCTCTTCTCTCCCGTGTGGTTCTTCCACACGGATCCCTGAAGAGGCCTCAGTCTGCTCCCCTGAATTCCAGGGCTGTGATCCTGCTTTTTGTCCCTCTCAGTATCCTGAACTCTGTCATCTCCAGGTCCCTGACCTTCACATCCCCAACCAGCCCTTCCTTCCTTGGAAGCAGGAGGTCCAGCAGAGCCTCTTCCCTTGTTGATTGTCCCTTGATGATCCGTGTCAGGAAGTTATCAGTGTGCTCATGAAACCCCCCTGGACTCAGTGTCCCATCCCTGGAAGTGTCCAAGGCCAGGCTTGGAGCAACCTGGGATAGTGGAAGGTGTCCCTGCCCATGGCAGGGGGTGGAATGAGATGATTTTTAAGGTCACTTCCAACCCAAACCCCCAGGGATGGGGCAGCCACAGCTTCTCTGGGTAACCTGTGCCAGGGCCTCACCACCCTCACAACCAAAAATTCCTTCCCAGTTTCCCATCTCTCCCTGCCCTCTGGCAGTGGGAAGCCATTCCCTGCATCCTGTCCCTCCAGCCCTTGTCCCAGGTCCCTCTCCAGCTCTCCTGGAGCCCCTTTAGGCTCTGGAAGGGGCTCCAAGCTCTCCCTGGATCCTTCTCTTCTCCAGGTGAACATCCCCAGCTCTCTCATCCTGGCTCCATAGGAACTCTTTGGGAATACAGTGTGTGGTGCCTCATGTGCTTTGGTCTGACCAGAATTTTGCCTTCCCACACGTTTATTTTAGGAATTTCATCAATCCTGACTCGGAGAGGCATTGGATGCCTGGAATCTCCTCACATGGGCACAACCCGAGCTACTCTCACGCGGCCCCGGCGACGGATTCAATCCTCAGGCAGGGAAACCGTCAGGAGCGGGATAACAAGCCCGGTCTTTGTTCCCTTTACAGCGAGGGGACGATGGGGATCAAAACCCAGCCGAGGATTTATGACGTTGACCTTTATCCGTGGGGAGCTGGACCCCAAAAAGCACCAACACGTGGCCTCCCCGCTCCCACCAAACCGCCCCCGCGCTCAGGAGTGTGACCTGGGAAGTGGGGAAAGGCTGCAAACGATTTTTCCAGCAGGCAAGATCAAAGAGGGAGGGGGAAAGCCCAGCTTATAAATGCACATAAAACAGCTATTAAGCACGACTGGGGAAACGTGGCTGATCATTACAAAGCCCAGAGATGTCCTTGCTGTGACAGCCCGCGAAGGGGGTTCCTGCAGAGAGGGACATTGTCAGTGCTGCTGCAGTTGACAGCTTTGGCTCTGTCTCTCTCAGCAGGAG